TATTTTGTATTGAATTGTTGGCGCTAAAAATTGAACAGTAACTTTGAGCTTTACTTTAAAAGATGTGTGATAATCTAGTAAAGAGTGGTACAATTCTAAACAATTGGATCAATACACAATCCTACGTCATATTTCTTGAATTAAAGTTAGAAACTTGCATCTGATACAAGTGAATTTTGCCAGAATCGTTTCGACGGACTGAAACGAGTTGAGCATCCACAGTCGCCAGCTACAAAGTATCTGAAGAGTAAATTTTGAAAGTTGCATTTAGCTACACAGTAGCCAAAGAGTTAACTTGTTTTTCTCTCTTGTCAGCTGGGTACATCCACACCGCCACCACTGTCATTTGATTTGCCATTTCGATACGCGCGTCAGTTACCCCACAGTTACGTCAGGGGGTTAGAAGAGTCGCGCGAAAATTGAACAAAGCTGATTGAGCGAGGACGGAGACGGAGAGTGAAATAAATTTGGCGGAGTGGGAGGAGCGTAGCGCGAACACTGACGTAACATTTCTCTCGCGTACTACCAGCGTCTTTTCTCGACGAGTATACGGGCTATTCACTTTGATCGTCGGTATTTGCCGAATTCATTCAACGGGACCGGCAAATTGCCAAAATCCTCTCTCTTGGACCGCGATCGCGTCCAAATTGCCGGCAAGTGCACGTGCACGTGTGTATACACGCGAGAAAAAGGAACGACGAAAAACAAACAGCACGACGATAACGCCAAATGATACGATCGGATAGTGTCGTCCCTAGTTGCCCTTTGTTTTCTCCTTCCGGTCGTGTTTTATTCTTTCAAAGAGAGGAACGTTCGACTCGCAATTTTCATGGATATGGGTATTCTCTCTCTGCCTCTCTCTTTCTCTTTGTTATTTTCTTTCTTTCTCTCATCGTTCTGATTGTTGCGACGCGCGAGAGGCATCTCTCGACTGAAAACTAACATCGCTCTCTCTTTGCCCGTTGACGCTGTGTGGGGATCCTGGCGCCACGCATCCACTATTAGGGCGAGATGATAGATCGCATAGAGTACCACGTGGAACACGCGGTGGACTACGTGCAGACGGCTACGCAGGACACCAAAAAAGCGCTCAAGTATCAAAGCAAAGCTCGACGGGTGAGTCCTCCCTAGATTACACGCGAGACCATACGTTTTGTTTTTTTTTTTTTTCTTTTTTTCTTTTCCTTTTTTTTCTTCCATTCGCGTCTAATTGGTCACTTTTTGTTTTTTTCCACACCTTTGCCCCTCTTCGTTCCTCTTCGCCATCTTCTTCGCCACTCTCACACGCGTCTCTCCTTCCTACCTTTAACCTAACCCCGTTTCCTCGCCTACTCGCGGTTCTTTTCTTTCTTTTTCACTTTCACCGGTACATACTTTACGCTACGTAAATCCTACGACAACCTTTTGCCGCTTTTTCTTTTGGTTTACTTGGTTTGGCTCCCCTTTGGTCGTCTTACTGCCTGTTACTACCACCATATTTACCACTACTACCGTTGTTACTATTACTGCTACTGCTACTGCTACTACTACTACTACTACTACTACAACCATTCGCTGCTACAACTAACTACCGTTATCTTGTTCCGCCCCACGACGACTAAACGAAAATTAACGACCGATTCCTTCTCTTTTATTTCGTTGCCACATTTTGTACGTTGATCGGGTCGATTCTCGTATACGTTTCGATGTGCATCTGTGTGTTTACATTACGCGTCCCTTTTCTTTTTTTATTACACCTTTACTTGATTGTTTTCCTTTTCTCTATGTTCTCGCGCGCGCGTGTATATATATATATATATATATATATATATATATATATATATATATATATATATATATATATATATATTTAAACACACACATATATATATTTAAAAATTTATATATATAATATATATGTAAATATAATGTAATAAATATATATATATATAAATATATGATATAACATGATATAATATTTATACATAAAAACATGTATATAAAAATATATAATATAATATAGTGTAATATATATATATATAAAAATATATGATACAATATAATATATATATATAAATATGTAGGTGTATATATATATATATATAATATATATATATATATAAATATATACATATACACAACACACGTGCGTGTGTGCGCGCGTGCACACACGCCACGCGTGACACGGCTGTGTTTGCTGTATTACATTGCATTATCGTCTGTGTGTGTGTCTCTCTCTCTCTCTCTACTTGTGTGTCGCTCTCTGTCCCACTATGGAAATGAGTGTGCTAACTGTGGCTCTGCCCGTCTAAAACTGTTTTTTTTTTTTGTCTATCATTATCTGTACTATTAAAAACTTCACGTGTACTTACTAACCTCTGTGCTATCTAACCGTCCAACTTTTGTCTAACTTTGCGCGTGCTGGGCGCGTGCACACGTGCCCGCCCCCACGGTGATTGGGTGATGGAAGAAAGTGGTTTTTTTGGTTTCCTGTTACGGTGGAACGTGTACACGCGCGACGTGGAACCATACAGTTCGTGCTGGCGTCGTAAACAATCGTTTCTCATCGGGGGAGGGCGACGGTGCGCGCGATACGCTGCCACTTTTACCTGCGCGGTGGTAACGTCCGGTGTGTGCCATTGTCCGAGTCTCTGGCTTCACTTGTAATATTTACTTTTACTCTGTCTGTTCACCACGCCGCTTTACGCGCATACGTACGCTCGTCCGTTAAAATTGCAGACGAACACGAATACAAATAAGAAAAATTTTTGTATAGCTGTTGTAGATGAATTCTACGTAACAAACTTTTTTTCTTTTTGCATTGTATTCCACTCGTCACGAAGGTAAACACTTTACCAAGGTACCTAATAGTACTTTTAAAAATTAACGCTGCGTTCTAACAGCGACTTTACGCTCCTGGACGCGTAGACGTATATTTCACGTAATTTTCGTGTTTGGTGTCAACTCCATTTGATTTATCATAGCATCCAGGGTCAGTCTAAATGATTAAATGATAAAACCAACTTTATTATTAACGTTATTCGAAATCTACGCGTCTAGAATCGTAAGGTCGCTGTTAGCACGCATCTGCAGTGTTAAATGATCAAGAAACTTTTTTCGCCACTTTCTGAGAAAACTGATTTAGGTTGCGACGTACGATTTCTTGGGAAAGTTCGGAAAGGAGAGAATTTTGACTTTACAATTTTCTTTTGCACTTTTGCAACTCATCACGTGTGATAATCACGGACAAACTTTTCTTTCCATATTCTGTACGTATACAGGTACGAATATACAGCGACTCTTACTAATTATTCGGACATCATGCTGTTCAAAATATTGTTGTGGATTTTGATTGTTTCTAATAGTAAGTTTGGATTACTTTTTTTAATAATTCATTCGTTATAGTTTGTTTTAATAGAACGTTCGTTGTAGTTTGTAGTAACGTGAGTTTCATTTATTTGTTGTACATACTTTTCTTAATGTCAAACAACAAAGCTGAATTTCGTGGCAAATGCAGCAAAAATATTCTTCTTGTGGACGACGATACATCTTAGCCGTCTGTTTACAAACTTTATACCGAGCAGTATGAAGAGTACACTTTAAAATCCTAAATTGCTGTTCAATGAGTCAGAAATTTCAAACATGGGACGAAAAAGTAAAAATACTTATGTCGACGTACGACGATTAGTCATTTTTCACCGAAATTAGATTACTACTATAAATCCAGATTACTAGGTTACTATATAGTTACTAATATAGTTATCAGGTTACTGTATAGTTACTAAGTTACTATATAGTTACTAAGTTACTAATATAGTTACTGGGTTGCTATATGGTTACTAATATAGTTCCTAGTTTACTATATATTGCTAATATAGTTACTGGGTTATTATATATTGCTAATACAGTTACTAGGTTATTATATATTGCTAATACAGTTACTAGGTTTCTATATAGTTGCTGATATAGTTACTAGGTTGCTATATAGTTGCTGATATAGTTACTAGGTTGCTATACACTTGCTAATATAGTTACTAGGTTGCTATATAGTTGCTAACATAGTTACCAGGTTACTGTATAGTTACTAATATAGTTACTAGGTTGCTATATGGTTACTAATATAGTTCCTAGGTTACTATATATTGCTAATATAGTTACTAGGTTATTATATATTGCTAATACAGTTACTAGGTTATTATATATTACTAATACAGTTACTAGGTTATTATATAGTTGCTGATATAGTTACTAGGTTGCTATATAGTTGCTGATATAGTTACTAGGTTGCTATACACTTGCTAATATAGTTACTGGGTTGCTATATAGTTGCTAACATAGTTACTAGGTTACTATATAATTACTAATATAGTTACCAGGTTACTGTATAGTTACTAAGTTACTATATAGTTATTAATATAGTTACCAGGTTACTATATAGTTGCTAATACCGTTACTAGGTTGCTATATGGTTACTAATATAGTTCCTAGATTGCTATATAGTTGCTGATATAGTTACTAGGTTGCTATATACTTGCTAATACAGTTACTAAGTTGCTAACATGGTTACTAGGTTCCCAATTAAGTTACCATATATATATATATATATATATATATATATATATATATATATATATATATATGCAATCCGAGTCCACAACAATATTTTAAACAGCACGACGTCCGAATATCAATAATACGTCACTGCAGACGTAAATACGACCGCGAATACGTACGTATACGCGTAAACGCACAGGACACGCGTGCGAAGAGAAACCTAACGATTGATTAACCTTGGGTGCAACCTTGGTTTGGAGGCGATCCACTGGTTACCCTTGCCCCTGGAGTCCTTTCATCCGATCGTCCTTCACACCACCTTCCACGATCCACTGAATTCCCGACACACGGCACGGCAGGGTGAGTTGGTGAACTGCATTGAACTCGCAACTCGTGGACGAAACCGGCCAGAGACCACGTTGACCACAGGCTGATGCCGGGAACAGCTGATTCCGCGGCAGAGGAGTGTATCGAGGCGCAAAGAGCTCGTAAGGTAAAAACGAATCGAGTGGCAAACACTTGGCCTCCTCTCCGGATAGCAAAAGTCAATTATCCAGCGGCGATAGTTTCGTTGTTTCGTTGTTTCGTTATACAGGAAGGACAAGGATAACGAGCTCTCTCTCTCTCTCTCTCTCTCTCTCTCTCTCTCTCTCTCTCTCTCCCCCTTGTTCCTCTGTTTCTCCCTTCTGCAAAGTTCCCTCGGAGACGATGTCTTTCTCTCTTCTTCTTCTTCTTCTTCTTCGTCTTCTTCCTGTTTCGCTTCGCTTTTGTCCGACTTTTGTTCGACGTCGTCCAATACCGATCGGCCGTGGCCAGGCTGTGACTTGAGAGTGTAGATAAACGTGTCAGCAGCATGTGCAACGTCCAAGGTACACGCCGTCGTCCGCTTTTCTCCGTTGCTTGCGAACAAGTCGCAAACTTTTACTCTGGAAAATTGAATCTGTCGCCCAGTGGTTGCCGGACACCGGAAACCGGAATCGGTAACCGTCCGTGTTTCTCCCCCTCCGTCGTCCCCTTCTCCTCCCTCGCCCAACTATTCTTCTCTTCTCTTCTCGTTCGGTTATTGTGACGATCTCGATCTCGAGTCTCGATCATCTCCTCTCTGCTTGCCTGCCTGCCTGTTTTCTGTCTCTGTCGGGTCGGTCGGGAAATAATTGCGCTTCTCCAACACTCGACTTCAAAATACATACGTCTCAGCTTTCAAAGCTTTTTATCAGTCAATGCAACGACCACCATTTCGCTTCGACGCGACGTTGTCCTGCCGAACAAGTTACAAGCTTGTTTATCCCAGCAATATGGAAAGCCGGATCCCCGTCGAGTCGATGAAACTTTGAAAAGAAACTTTTCCGCATCAGCTCGGTTTTCAACACGGTTTATCCTTTGAGAAATTGTCTGAATGCTGAAAAAAAAAAAAAAAAAAAAAAGGGAAAATCTGTTGGAGAAAGATCTGGCGAGTATGGTGGATGAGGTAAAGTTTCGTATCCCAGCTCGTTCAATTTCTGGAGGATAATTGCTGCAACGTGTAGCCGCTCGTTATCGTGCAGTGGCATTGGGCTTTTCTTATTGATCAGTACGGGCACTGGACGTCTGAGTTTTTCGCGCATTCTTTCGATTTCCTGACTGTAAGTCGGTGCCGGCGATGATTTCGACAGGTTTCAGAAAAATCACGGTGAATCAAGCCGGTCGCGCGCCATCAAAACAGTCGCCATAATCTTTTTTCACGCGCAGCTTGGGTCTTGGAAAATTCATCGAACCGCCATCGCACCGTACGTGTCTTAACGATATATCCGAGCCAAATGCGTTGTCGACTTTGTGAGCAGTTTCTGCTTGCTTTCCCACTCTTGCTTTGAATTCCTAAAGAAAAATTGCTCCGACTTGCTTCTTATCCAATGTCACTTCAGTGGCCAGAGAATGGTCGATTCCAAAATATACAGACCGAATTTCGTATACGATAGGTATCGCAGGAATCTGCAAAAGAAAAAAGATAAGAAGCGCAATTGTTTCCCGACCAACCTGATATTTCTGTCTCTGTTTCTGTCTCTCTGTCTCTCTTGTTCTTGTTTCCTCCGGTTGTCAAGGTGGCAGGACAGTGTGATTACGTATACTTTGGAGGGCTGGTAAAAAGAAACTACACGTTTGATCGACACGAGCTTTTCGTGGTTTGTTTTAACACATAGCGAACTATAAAAAGAGGGCTCTTGTTTAGCCTTTCAACTTTTCAGCATCCTTTTACGCAACTCTTGTTCTCTACATTGCCCATCGGTGTGCATGATACCAGCCAAACAGGATTTTAGCTGCGACGAGAAAGGCAAGAAGAGTTGAAAAGTAAACGATATTCCCTAGGTATTGACGATCCAACATTTTCATTTTTGTGAAAATTATGAAAACGGCAGCTAATTGTTTTTCACGTGTCGAACTTGTGCCAAGAATTTCCACGTTTCTCGTTTAATATTTTTCGAAATTGTTAAAAATTTAAGAAACGTTGGATCGTCGATCCCTGGTGAATGTCGCGCCAAAGATACGTACCGAGTTTCGCGGTAATCGGCTGGTCAGATTCCGAGACGTCTCGCACGCCGTTTCTAAAAGCCTAGCATTTCGAGAGAAACGCGTTTAAAGTTACAAAACGTCATTTCTCGTACGTATCCTTTACCTACTTTTTTTTTTACTTTTTATATCGCGGCTCGACAGTTCTTACAATTACACAGCTAAATTGAATCCAAGTCCCCTAATACTCGATTCGCCAAAAGTAGTATTTCAATCACACGATTTACACTTTGCGATAGTTTGCCCAAAGTCCGTAAACAGCGATGGAAATTCAATTATTCCGTATCTACGGATTTATCATTACACCCCCAAAGTATGTCGACCTTTTGTCGATCTCATTTCCAAACTACCATTTAAATAAAGAACAATGATCGATTTCCCAAACGTCACACTGTCCTGAGGCCGGCTTGGGTGTTTTTTTCACAAAACGCGATGTTGTTCCTCGTTCTCGACACAATCTACTCGACAAACACCAGAAATTCAGATTCTGATCGTTGTCCATCGTGCTCCATGCCGCTGTTGCCCCATGCTCCGCCATTGTCTGCCTCTCATGCGTCTCGTGTCTGTTTTCTTTCTGTCCACAGAAAATGATCCTCATCGTAGTCTGCCTGTTAATATTGGCCGTGATATTAATCTGCATAATAATAGGGTGCGTGCCGAGAGGGTAAATAAGAGAGGGCGCGCCGCGCTAGGGAACAGTGATTGGGAGGAAAAATGCTCGCGATAGTCGGCGGATTTTCGTGAAACGCGTGCGCGGCGGGAAAGAAAGAGTGAAGAGGAGGAGGACGTCGTCGGTTTTTAAGAGCCTCGTGAAACAACTCGACGAGCAGTTTGTTGTAAGCAGTTTAACGCAAGTATAGGCGAATGGAAGGCGCAGGAACCGAGGAACGTAACGCCGCAAGTCGCATCGTGGCATCGACCGATGAAAAACGAATAGGATTTCGAATTCCCCTCGTTTTTACGTCTGCTGCTACACGTTCCTCCACGCAGCGGCTCCCCCGTCTTGCTCCTGACGGGAAGCATGGCGCCTCTTAACAACGACGGGGAGAAAAGGAGAAAAGGCGGCGGAAGGCTTTTGTCGTCGCTCTCTGTTTGTCGTCCACTAACGCAATAATCTTTCCAATTATTAACCAAAGGGCGAGTCTCGCTGGCTTGGGGTCTCTGTTGATAACCTGCTCGCGGCTCCTCTGATCGCCGACTCGTGCCGGTCTCTCGAGTGGTGAAAGTAAGAGGTGGAGGAAAAGGACGAGTCGGCGAGCTACTAAACTAACCTAAAACGACGATTCTTCTCCCTCTTCGTCCATGGCCGTTGGCCCGAGCATCTCGAGCGATGTCGCGGCGCGAGAGAGTGGGCTTCCCTTCTCACCGAGTGTGAGATGACACAGCCGTGTATTGTATTCTGTTCGCAGAAATTGATGTTCATCGTCATTTGCCTGACAGTAGCGTTCATCATTCTCGTAATCATTCTGGTATACACGTTGTAAGAAGACGGTCCGCGAGGCTCGACTTTCAGCGAGGCGGGACACGAGAGAGACAATGTTGAAGGAAAAGGCCGAAATAAAAAAAGAAAAACAACAGCGACCAACCACCAAGCTCTCTCGCGCGACGTTTTCCTTTCGGAACGTGGTGGACACTTCGCCGTGTACTCGTTTCTTTTTTTTTTTTTTTTTTTTTTTGCTCCAGGGGATCGGGGAAAATGTTGTTGGCTGTCGGTTCCGCGCGTCTTCTTCCCGTTGTGTCGTTGCAATTCCACAGGAATCCACAGGCCGGTTGGATCGGGCGAGGAGAGTTCTCCTAGGAAAAGAAAAAAAAAAAGAGAGAGAAACCACGGTGGAAAAAAAAAGGGGGAGCCTCAGGTCTCTAGGATCCGACGAGAGAAATTCAGGATCCAGGATTCAGGATCAGGAGCCACACACGAAGGCACGAGTGACGCGGGCGCACACGCTGAGAGAGAGAGAGAGAGAGAGAGAGAGAGAATGAGTGAGAGAGAGATGGTATGCGAATGTGTGTGTGCACGCGATAGAGAGAGAGAGAGAGAGTGAGAGAGGGGAGTGATGCCCACGCACCGCCCCCACGGGAGGAGATCCTCCAAGTATACAATATGCATTATTTATACATTATACTGTTAGTTACCGTAGTCGGGACGTTGCGTGCCGCGTTGTATAATCTGTCATTGTGTTTTTGCCGAGCGCAGAAGAAGATCATGATCATGATCTGCCTTGCTATACTCGCCGTCGTTCTCACCACCACCATCGGTGGATACTTTGGGCTGTGAACGCCGCGCTCAGGTACGCCTACTCTCAGGTCTTCCAACGTTGAACGGGGATATTCCAGTGTGAAGTGCGTTGTTGTCGTTTCACTTTGGAAATTTTTTTCTTTCTTTTTTTCTTTTTTTTTTCACAAAGAAACTAGTACACATTTTGCAGTGAAATTGAACAGGGGATTGTTTGCACGTATTTCGACGCACGTTTTAAAAATTGTTTGGAACTGAAAAAGAAAAAAGAGTTAGAGAGTAGTGATTCGTCTAAAATAAAAAAGACGTGATAGTTTCTTAATTAGCATGGATCTGACTATAGCCCAGTGATGACGACAATCTATGACCCGTGTGACACTGTTGATTTTTATAAACTTGTCATCAAATCTTTTCAAAAAATGTTAAGAAAATCACAAGTGTTTGGAGCTTAAAAGTGAGAAATAAATGTATAATTGTGTTTTATGGAGGATCTACGACTTGGTTATGTATACATATATAGATATATTTCAAGTCTTGAATGTTGTACGAGTTAGTCGTGTCCAGAAAATTTTATACAGCGCTTACGATTAAACAGATGTAACAAACACTAAAAAAACATACTAGATCTCATTCTCAGAATGGGTAGCTTTGCTAGGTTTTTATATAATAAAAGAGAGAACAGACAATAAAAAAATATTAGGAAATAAAGTATATATATATATATATATATATCTAATGTATTAGTGCAGGGGTGACTGGGCACGATGTCACCCCTTTTATATCAATTTTTTGACATCGACATTTATTTCTTGCTCCTCACTTGCAAAAGCAAACGTCGTGAAACAAAAAGGAAACGTAAACTTTTTATAGAGGATCATAAAAGTGAGAACCAAAGAAAAGTAGTTTTTAACCATCCCCCTTTCCAAGTAACGCCACTGACTTTACGACCCACGAAGTATCAGTACTAAACAAAAATAATGAACAAAATTTGACCTACTTTTCAAAAAGGTTCACTGCTACAGCCGGAACTAGAACAAAATGAAAATGTCGGTAATTAAAAAATTGACAGTACTTTGAAGTTTATCGATTATCGGTTTTTCCGTGTTTTTGTCATACCTTTGTCAAGTCTGAAAAGAAATATAAAGAATGAAAATTTTTGGTTGATTCTGGCAGTGGCTATAGTCGCACATGTACTAAATAAATGCTTACTATAATACTTAAAATTTCGATTCAATTGGTCAAGTAGATGTTGAGATCACCGTTCTGAAGAACATGGTTTCCAGGAAAAATCCCTTTGAAGTTTACTATTGCTGGTCGTCGCGTCCTTCAAACACCCACAAATTGTCAACGTTCGTTGAATCTTAGGAATTCACGTGCAACGTTCCAGAGATGTATCTTTTGAAACTACATCTTCTGCAAGAAAAAGAAAGAAAAATCAATTTTTTTTTTTAAATTTCACACTAGAATATCCCCTTAATTAAGGCGCCTCTCCGCTTTGAGAGTAAAAGATGATACTACTTCTGCAGAATATTCTCAAACGGAGAACTGGGGGGCCTTTACCTGCGTTCAGCTGCACCCGCACTCTCTGTCTTGTTTCTTGCTTGCAGACAAGCCGAAGCCAGTTGTCGTCGTCGTCGTCGTCGTCTTTGTGGTGATGTTCGTCACCGATCGCGAGAAACGCCCAGACAACAACAAATTGGCCCTAGACAACAACAACAATAAAAACAACAACAACAATAACAACATTGGAACCAAGCTGAACCAAGTGAAAGCCTCCTCCGATAATGATGATGAAGATGATGATGATGATGATGATGATGATGATGATGATGATGCTGCTGCTGCTGCTGCTCGTCAACGGCAGCCACGGCGTGTTGTCGACAGGCCCATTGTCCGCTCCTCGTCCTACGGATCGTCTTCGCTGGATTTCACGCCTTCTGTTACGCTTACGCGTTCACGTGCACGCGTTCACACCTGTCGGCCGTCGCGAGGAAGGAGGAAAGCAGAGCGAGAAGCGAGAAGAGGAGAAGAGGAGAAGAGAAAAGGGAGGATCGAGGATCGAATAAATGAATACATGTACACGTAGACGAAGAAGAATTGCCTCGTTGTGCAGTTTCTTCTTCGTCGTCGTCGTCGTCGTCGTCGCCGTGTCGTCCCCTCTTTTAATTTCTCGTCTCTCAGCTCGTATTTCCCAGTCTCTCCGCTTGGTGACTCGGCAAGCAAATAGGAAAAACGCCGTAGCAAAAGTAAGGGAAGTAAGCGAGCAGGCCGACGGGAAAGTACCAAGAGAAGAGGACACGGTCGCAGACGCGTGAGAACAACAGGTGGAAGAAACGGAGCGCGTGCACGGCGTGAAAGAAGATGTGTGTGCCTGTGTCCTTGGTCGAGCTGTGTCTCTCTCGAGCGATGATCGTTGTACCGCGTTACATGAAGTGTGAAAAGCGAGTGACGAAGAAAGGGAAGACGTCGCTGGCACGAAAGAGAAGAAATTGGGGGCTGTGAGCACAGTAAATCGTCGTGAATCTCTGACCTACGTGCGAGTTGTATGCATGCATGTGTTGCGTATGTATCTGGTTCCGAGCCAAGCCTAACCTGACCGCCTAATGGAGTTTTTCTGTAACGCGAGGCGTCGCGCGAGGCTACCCCGAGGCCACAACCCTCTCGTTTATCGCGCCGGGCTCTGGTAGCCGGTGTCCAATTATAAACCGACTACCTACCGAAGTGCATTCATTTTGACTGTGATTTTTCAACCGAGCTTGGAAATTAGTTCTTTACGAGTTCTCCCGCGTTCTCTGTAAAAAAAGAAAAAAAAAAACGCGCCCCACATCGCTCATTCCCTCCCCCACATATCATGTCACTTGCGTACGATATCGAGGCGTTACATGTGTTACACGTAGATGTCTGTGCGCCATTCCTCTCCATCGAATCCGTGGAGAAATTTCAATTGAATTGAATTCGAGTATCGTGTAATACATGCCGAGCCCCCGAGGAGCTGGCAACAGCCGGGGGGAGAGATAGAGAAAGAGTTACCTAGCTTGCTAGAGAGAAATGTCCCGCTTCGAAATCGAAGAAACGAGTAGAAATACCCAGAGAGTAGAGCTGTGTCCAGAGCTGTGGACGCGCGAAGAGCGCGAAAGGGCAAATTTCCAAGTGCGTCGCAACGTTGGGCTAGCTATCGTTCGACGGAGTACATACCGTAGTTTACACCTAAGTAGTTTGTTTCTCGCTTTCGACGTGGCTTCGTCGATTCATCGGTTGGTCACAACAATCGTGAACGGCCGCGGCCGAGTCGAATACATAGTGGAACGATGATAATACGTCGTTGACGTCGTGTTGCACGAAACGCCATTAGGACGAGTGGGTTCGATCGACGACCGATCGGCGAATTAATCGCTTTGCTTCCCTTTCGTACATCGTGAGCCCTCCTTTCGACAGCCCTCTAGCCGAGTTTCCGTGACCTTTCCCTTTTTTTTATTGGTTGTCACACGAACACACACACACACACACACGAGCCTGGTGTCTTTTTTTTCTTTCTTCTTTCAGTTCAGCTCGTGGATGCTGAGCGCTCGGAAATGAGCGAGTAAAACCGATTCAATAAAGACAAGAAACACTGTTGACCGATTTGATTTTGGTTCTTGCTCGAGGGGAACGAAAGCTCGGTATATTGGACCGTCGAAAGTGGTCCATTTTTTCTTTGTTCGCTTGTATCGCTGTGTTGAAGCGGTCGGTCGTACGCGGCGCGGGAGAAGAACAGAGGACGACGAGTTTTTTTGCAACAACAGTGATGGAATTGCGAGTAGAGTCGAGGCAACACGCAGGCAAGACGGACACGCGGAAGAGACGAGGGACACGAACACGCGTTAGAGCAGGGAAGAGGAGATCTATAAAACTGCAGCAATAATAAGATATAGGTGTTTTACGGGAGACTAATTAACGCTAATAACAATCGTCGACGATAAAAATCTGGATATCATACCGATGTGTATCGTATCTACACAAAGTGTATACATATATATTTATTGCTATATGTGTATATATATGTATATATACACACACACACGTATACACACATAAAAAAAAGAAAAAGAAACACTCGTACATATATATATATACACACAAACACGTACAGAGAAACATACTCGGTGAATATGAGCGCAAACTCGCGAGACACGCAGGTGGCGTACGACACGTACTATATTTACACACATACACACACACAAACATAGCATACACACACACATAGCGCGACGTGTAACGCGCAAAACGCGTTCACGGTACATACAAAATGGAAAAAAAAAAAAATAAAAACATATTACATGTATATATAAAATAGATAGTCGGCACAGTCGAAAAGAGTAATATATTAACGATGATAATTTATTATTCACGACGCTGTTGCTCGTGTACACTATCGTCTGATTATTGCTTTTCGAGCAAACAAAAAATGGAAAAAAAAAAAAGAAAAAAAAACGGGCGACGTTCGTGTTAATGTTTTGTTGATTATATTATATGAACGTTGAGGTACACGCGTTTCAAAGATTATGGGTTAATGTTTCAGAATAATATGTATAAGAAAGGAAGAAAACGAAAAAAAAAGAAAAAAAAAAGAAGAAGATGAAGAAGACAAACGGTTAAGCTACACACAGGCCACGTTTTGCTGCAACAGCAATACAGTTGAGACAAAGAGTACGGTTAAAATGCGATTGAGGACGGCGATACGACGCTGCGGTATCAGTAATAACGAAAAAAAAGAAAAAAAAAACAGAGAACAACGTGGCAAAGCGTCGTGAAAGAGGGGAAACGAACGACACGATCATAATGATAATGAATAACCATAATTAACGATATTTCAAATCACTTTGCATTGTACAGAAGCATACTGATTGTTAGTTTAGGTAGCTACGTTGCCACGATCTATTATTTAATCGTTGAACACGATTAAGAGAGACGAGTGAAAAAGAAGAAGCCCGGAGGATCCCTCTGTGACGAGTCGATAATGCCTGATTGTTCGAATCGAATAGCATTCTCTCTTGTGGTGATCATGATCGTCGTCGTCGTCGATGGCGGTTGGAGTTGATGGAGGAGGATCCTAAAAAAAAAGAAAAAAAAAGTGAGTTTCTTTTTCGTATCGACGTTGTCGTCGTCACGTCGATTGAAAAGAAAAGGAAAATTGCGGAGAGAACCTTGCCTACTACTGTAACGTGAAACGTGCTCCATCTATTCGACAGACAGCCTCCTCCTCCTCCTCCTCCTCCTGTACTTGGTTGCTTCGCACCTCGAGGTCGATTGAGTGGGTGATCACTTCAATGAATACGGTTGGTTGGTTGATTGGTTGGTTGGTTAGTTGGTTGGTTGTTGATTGTTATCGTCGATAATACAGTTGGTTCTCTCTCTCGGTGTTGGTTCGATGCCGATTCTCTGCGACACAGAGGAACAATCGCGGCACACGTTATCGGCCTTAACGCGCGTGTCCGCACCGAGACGTGAGGTCGTCGCGAACTCTCCATTGTGCACACCATTTTTTGTACATAGCCCAGCCTCTTGCAACCTCGGAACAGAAATCGGCCCGCCTTTTTTTTTTCTAGGCTAGCTTCTCGAAACCCCGAAAAAAAAAAAAAAAAAAAAAAAAAAAAGAAAATCTTGTCGTTAGCGTTTTTTCTCAGATGCGTGCGCGCTCGTGTGTAGCGATTCTCGCGATTAGGAATTGAAGAATCAAACTTACTTTCGTACCATCGAATAAGTTTTCCGGGCCACTCGAGGATAGACTTGTATGTGTATCATTTGTAATCGCAGTGTACGTATCATCGACGATCTCGGCGGTCGATGTGCGCGTAGGAAATACGTACTTTGGCCTAAGAGAACTAAGAAAGACGATTATCTCTCGTTCACGTGTTAATATGTATATGTATATTACCTGTGACTTTGTTGATTTCCTTTTCGTTCACGAGGAGAGAGACTTTACGAGTGCGAGTCAATCTTTCGATCGTTATATTCGCGCAACGATGCTGTCCATCTGTCTGTTTGTCTGTCTGTCTGTCTGTCAGTCAATCAACCCATCTGCCTATCACTATTTACTTACCCACATTTCTTTCATCTCTTTCGTCTCTTCCTAAAAATTTCTTTTCTCCAAATTCTACGACTCATACTTGTTTCTCTCCCTCTCCTTTTTTCCTGTTTTCCAAAATAAATAAAAAGTAAAACCAGTAAACCTAACCTAAACCACGCGATCGACGAGACAAGACCGACAGATGGACCAAAGCGTGAACCAATCAGGAAGTAAACGCGCAACAGGTAAAACAGGAATCGTGACGAAGCAGAGGGAACGGTTTAGAGACCTCGAGCACGACGAGATATCGGTGGTCGTGTCGCATCGGTGCAATTATTACTCTTCGAGAGACTATTTCAATAACCTTATGAGTGTCAATTCCACTTTCGAGCGTAAATCGTAAGTTTGCGAATGTGTTTTCAGACAAAAAAA